AAACCATTGTTGTTTGCCTAAGATTTTTATGTGGAAGGAGGGGAATGGGTAAAATATAGTAGATTGAGAGTATAGTATTTATAAAACAAAGTTAAAGTTTGTTGCAGAACAGCATTCAGAGGAGCTCAGCCAGACCTCTCAAACAGATGGTCTTTACATTATCAAAGACAAAATTCAAACTTAAATTCATATAGAATCTCAGACTTCAAAAAAACCACATCAATCTTGAAAAAGAAAAAAGTGGGGGTCTCATACTTTCTGATTTCAAAACTTATTACAAAACTACAGTGATTACAATAATATGGTTTTATAAGGTCAGGTATTTTTTTAAATATATTTTCTAACTAATGCATAAAGTCATAGGATAATGGTTATACACATTCATAAGTTTCATTTTGGCATGTTCAAATGTGCACTTCATATACTTTAATCATTTCCCCCATATTACCCTCCCCCAGTTTCACATTTTGGGGAGTTTCAGTACATATAATGCCTTTTGATCGTATTCATTCCCTCTCGGTCCACCCTTACACCTCCCAGCATATTCTCTTCCTCTTGTCTAATAGTAATCTCCCTTTTACGTTACTGTCATCTTTTTAGAACATGTGACATTTGTCTTTCTGAGTTTGGCTTATTTCACTCAACATGATGATGTCTAGATCCATTCATTTTTCTGCAAATGACATAATTTTGTTCTTTTTCATAGCTGGAAAATACTCCATTGTGTATATTTGCCACCGTTTTCATCTGCTGCTGGCTACCTAGGCTGGTCTCATATCTGGGGTACTGTGTACTAGGTAGCAATAAACTTGGGTGTGCAGATGTCCCTGTAGTGCGCTGACTTTAATTCTCTCATGTACATACCAAGGACGGCAATAGTTGGATCAAGTGGTATTTTTCACTTTTTGAGGAAATTCCATGCTGTTTTCCATAGTGGCTGTGCTAACTTACATTTCCACCAAGAGCACAGAACATTCATCTTTTCTTCCCTGCTGTACAGTAGAATGCTGGAACTTTTTACTCCTATCTCTGTGATCAACCTCCCCATTTCCTCTCCCTGTGACCCTTCCCCAGACTCTGGTAACCACCACTCTAATCTCACCTTCTGTAAAGTCAACATTTTTAGATTCCACACATGAATTAGATAATGCTGTATCTGTCTTTCTGTGTTAGGCTTACTTCACTTAACATAATAATCTTCAGTCCTTTTTTATTTGTCATAAATGAAAGGACTTCATTCTTTTCATGGCTGAACAGTATTCTGTTGTGTATATGTACTACACTTCCTTTACCCATCCTTCAGCCCGTAGACACCTGGGTGACTCGATATCTTTGCTACTCTGAATAGTCCTGCCATCATTGGGATTTTGATTGGGTTACTTGCATTAAATCCGTAGATCATTTGGGGTAGTATGGGCATTATAACAGTATTAAGTGTCCCAATTCATGAACAGAGGGTGTCTTTCCCCTTAGTTTTGTGTATAATTTCTTTCCCTGATTTTTTGTACTTGTTAGTATATGTCTTTCACTTTCTTACATTTATTTCTAAGCATTTTATTCTTTTCTTTTTTTTATTAAATTCTTTTATTGGTACATTGTAGGTATACAACACAATTACATTTCTCATTGGGAACTGTACCTTTACATAATGCATCTTGGTTCTTATTTTTTACCCTTTCCTAGCCCTCCCTTCACACCCTCTACCCTTCCCTATTTACAAAGACTTTATTTCCATTTTTCCCATTTCTCATCATTTTTCCTTTCCCTTCTTTTAAGCATTTTATTCTTTTTGATGCTTTTGTAAATAGAATTATTTTCTTAATTTCTTTTTCATATTGTGCATTTTTAATATATAGAAACACAACTTTTTGCCTGTCTTTCCCTCTATTACTACCTGGCTTTGTGTTTGTTTAAATTTTTTATTTTAATATAATACAAGTAGATATTAACAAAGAAAACATAAAAGCCATTTTATGAAAAAATAGTTTTTCATAACAAAAATTATTAAAGAACAATGGCAAATGCACTGGGTATCATGATCTTAAAATAATATATTTTCATTTGCTAACCTCTCAGCTCATTTCCCAATAATACTATACATTTTTTTGCATAAAACATTTTAAGTATTCACAAAGTATCTCAAATTTTGTACAATTTTGAACAATTTCATCCTATTTCATAATATTTATTATTCTTTTTGGTCCTTATTTTCACTCACAGTTTCTCACAGAGAGACAATGCAATATTTGCACATATTTATAGTGGCACAGTTTGTAATAGCTAAATCTTGGAAACAGCCAAAATGCCTATCCACTGATGAACGGATAAAAATATGTGTTTTTTTTTTAAATATAATGGAGTACTATTCAGCCATAAAGAAAGATAAACTTGAAACATTTCTAGTCTCAAGTGTATACACCTTCAGAACATACTCTTAAGTGAAATAAATTGAACACACATGTGTAAAGGTCAGGTATATTGACGAATAGAATTGAATGGACAGCCCAGAAATAAATCCTCACATGTATATTAAAGGAGTTTTCCAGTGTATCATAATGATGTAAACACGACGACTGTGACTTTGCATTGGTAACCCAGTGGTCCTCACACATGCTAGGCAAGCACTCTACCACTATTTGCTCACAGGTTTTTTCATATGTTTTTGAAAATCTGGTAAATTCAATTCACCCAACCACTAAACTACATTCTCACCTTTTTTATTTATTTGTGTACTTTTGGATTTACTTTGTGGAGTAGGGATTGAACCCAGGTCTTTTGCACTGAGCTACATCCTAGTCCTCTTTTTATTTTTTTAGTTTAAGATTGAGTATCCCTAAGTTACCTAGTCTGAGCTCAAGCCTGAGATCCTCCTGCCTCAGCCACAGAGAGGGCTGAGATTACAGGTGTGCCCCACCAGATCCAGCTGTTCCTTTTTATTGTAACAGAATTTTGCTAGGATTTCCAGGCTGACTTTGAACTTGCAATCCTATTAATTCAGTCTCTCAAATAACTGGAATTTTACAGCTGTGCCACCACACTCAGATTCTGTAAACACACACACTTTTGAAAGGATTAATGATCTACATGAATCACAACTTAAACTCCCTAATCTAAGCTGATTGAATCTTTTTCAAAGTACTCAGCTCTTCTTCAAGTAAACAGATTGTGGGACTGGGGATTTAGCTCAGTGGTTTCGCTGTCTGCTGTGCAAGTGCAAGAACCCAAGTTCGACCCCCGGTACCTAAAAAAATAAAAAAATTTTTAAAAATCAGATTGTTCTTTTCATAGTTACAATATACAAATACAACTTAAATAAAGATATTGATTTTTATTGTTGAACTGCTGAAATTATGAAGACACAAATACTAAGCAATGTTTTTATACTGAATTCTTTTTCAACTTGGTGCCATAAACTTTCCCTCATTTATTTATGTTCATCATTCCTGAAGATTGCACCAATTGTTTTCCACATGCTAGGGAAGTCTTTTACAAGCAAGCTTCCTTCTCAGCTGAAGGATCATAAACTTAAATCAAAGCAAATAAACAGTATTTGCTTTTCAATGAGAATACCAGGCAAAAACACTAAGTATTTTTTAAGCTTTTAGAGATTTTTATGGCATGGTTTGCTTTATCAATTTGTTGAGCCCATGGAAGAAAAAAAGACATTTGAAAAAAATCAAAATATAAGATACACATGAATGCAATCCATTTACGCTGAGAGTGCATTTCTATTCTGTGCTAAATAAAGCAAGATTTTGTACAGAAAATGTATTCTTTCTACTTTTCTTTTCTTCAGTAATATGATGTGGGCAATATTTTATTCAAGTATTAAATATATTTTTGTCCATAGGAACCACTTAGAGTTTCACTGCCATTTCTGTAAAGAATAATGTAAATACTCATAGCACTGTGAAAATGCTAAGATGTTACATTTATAGATTTGCCACATGCAGGATGTCCAGTAAACCTAAATTACTATTTTTGTCAAGAAATATTTTACATATAACATCGGTACATTTAAGATACAGTTATTGTGCTTATTTATGGGGCACAGTGTGAGCATTTGATGCATATATACAATGTGTAATTATTTAAGTAAGACTAATTATCATTTCCTATTCCTAAATATTTTTTTGCAGTTGAGAAACTTTAAATTTCCTTCTACCAGTTCTTTATAAAAGTAAACTTCAATGAAATATAGTCACCCTGCTGTGTTATTGAATATTGCAATTTATTCCTCCTATTGTACTGCATTTTGATGCCTGTTAGCCAGCTTCTGACTCCTCCCCTGCCCCTCCTAACCCCTACTCTAATCTTTCTTTAGAAATCAACATTTTCACTTCCATCTAAGAAAGAAATCATGTAGTATTTGTCTTTCTGTGCTTGGCTAAGTTCCTGTCAAGAGATGCTATGGTAGTCTCAGCATCCACATGATGACATATTATTTGGCCTGACCAGACACCTAGCCACTTTTTTATGAAGGTTAATGGTCTCTTAATGTTCTTGGTGACCCAGTCTCCTATGTTACATTTTTTATTTGATAATTAAACTCTGTTAAGGATGTCCAGATTTATTGGTGAGATTTCTGAGCATGTAAGTGAAAAGGGGAAGTTAGGGTAGCAGAATTACATGGGATTATGTTGCCATAAGACATTCAGTCTCCGTCAGTGCTGAAAAGCAAGCAGGAAGTAGCCATTCAAAAGAGGCATGTGTGGTAGCTGCCTCAGGAAAATTATGTCCCCATGATCTGAGAGAATGGTGTACTTCAGTGGAAGTTTTCTGCTGTTGCACATTCCAGTCAGCATGCAAGAAGTTTATAAACTGTGTTTTTTCCCAAGCAACCCATACTCACCAGTGGGTTTTTCCCCTAAAAGGATCCCAGAACATTCCATGTATGCACCAAGCAAGGTCCAAGAACCAAATAGAAATCTGTATTGCACGCCTGCTTTTTCTTCTTTTTTTTTTTTTCTAAATGATAAGAGTCTTCTTATGTTGCCCAGGCTGACCCTGAACTCCAGGGCTGAAGTGATCCTCCTGCCTCCAGCTCCAAAGTAGCAGAATCTCCAGGTATGAGACAGCATGCCCAGCTCCCCCATTACACTGAGAAAAGTATGTGCCCTTTGGCCTTCAGTGGAGACTCAGATACCACCGATTGTTCCCTAACTATAGCATTTGTCCTGAGCCACTTGAGTCTGCAATTTCCCTGTATCAAAAATGTGTGCCAGGGGCTGGGGATTTAGCTCAGTGGTTCTGCCACCTGCCCCACAAGTACAAGGACCTCAGTTTGATCCCCGGAACCCAAAATAATGCATGCCAGCTGGGCTGTGTAAGGGTTCCCTGGCCTTTCTCATCTGTCCTTTGGACTGTACTTTTCCCTATCTGTTAAAGCCAGAATTGCACATTGTCTTCCCTGTTAGACCACAAAGACTGTCAGCACACACTTTCCAAGCTCTCAGAACCCACCAATGAGCTATCACAGAAGTGCTCAGCAGCCAGGGATGGCGCTCATTCCACATGCCTTTCTCCCTGCCTCAGTCACGTACTCAGCTCATTCACATCTGTGAAAAGGCTAAAGTGCCTCCTGTCACTGATATCACTCATCCTTCCCTACAATTCATCCAGCTGCATGAACGAATCCTGTATCCCCAGGCTTCATACAGAGGGCATTGCCCCTCATTGTTTTCCAGAATGGTGATAGTTGTGGCAGACCAGACCCTGCTCCATACACTAATTATATAAACCGGGTTCACTAGTAACCAACACCAAGGGAGGACTTCCACTGTGTGGAAAGATAGCAGATCACTATGTCAACCATCAAGAACAGAAATTCAAACCCTTCTGGCTTCTGCACCCTGGGCTGTAGTTTTACCAATTGTCTTGAGTTTAGGGGCATTAAAAAAAATCACTCACACACAATTTGTGTAAAGCATATCTGTTACAGATAGCTAGTGTGAGGTTTTTTTAAAAGCCTTCATTGTGAGAAGCATCCATTGTGAGAGAGTCCTCCATGGCTGTATTTATCCCTAAAGTTGACCAGGGAACAGAAAGCCTTAACTACAAATGCCCCACTTCGCTATGGCTAAGGGGGCGCAAAAGGAAGTCTCCCCAGAATTACATCCTTCCGGGTCAATGATTCACTGGAAAATCCTTGGAGGACAGCTTGCCGTCAAAGGAAAGAGGAACAAAGCCCAGGCTGCTCCAGAAGTCTTTCCCTACCCTAGATACTGCATTACCACCACATTGTATATTAATACTTGAGAACTACAAGTGAGAAAGAAGGGCAGAGTGGGTCCATCTAAGGCCAAATTGCCAAAGTGTTGTCCAAACTCTCTGCCATTTTGGCATTTTTGTTTTAATATATAAGTGCTCAATAATTCTAGCACTATTTGTTGTAACTGCTACCTTTCCTCCTTTAAATTTCTTACCACATTAGTCCAAAATTTAGTGACCATATAAATATAGTTCTGGTTCTGGATGCTACATTGTTCTGTTTAGCTAAATGTCCATATTTGCACCAATACCACACTATATTGATTAAATTGATTTATATTAATTGTTAAGATAGATAACTTGTGCCAACTGGAATTGTTCTTTTTCTAAATTGGTTTGGCTATTGAGAGAGTCCTTTGCTTTTTTGTACGAATTTCAGAATTTCACTTTCTCATATTAATTTATAAAAATTATAATGGGATGTTCCTTTGTGATTGTAGCAAATGTATACATAAATTTGTAAGAATTGACCTGGTAATCTTCCAATCTATGCAGTTGGTGTATCTCCACATTTATTAAATGTCTTTATTTCCCAATACAAATTTTATACATATATTGCCAGATTTATCCTTGTGTATCATATCTTTCATACTATTGTGAAATATATTTTTCAATTTAATATTCAATTATTATCACTATATAGAAAGGCAATGATTTTGACCCGTTCATTTTTATAAGCTAAGAAAATTGGTAACCATGTAATATGTACATGTCATGTAAGGTATGCACAAATGAACAGCCAAAATAAATTTATTACTTATTTAACACCTCAGCGAATCAAAGGTTTGATTAAGCAGGCAATATAAATCAGATTTGAGTGCTAGAGATAGAGTTTGGTGGTAGAACACTTGCATATGCAACAGTCTGAGTTCCATCCCATCATCAGCAAAAAACGAAAAAAAGATTTAGAGCTTTGCAATAGGGAATGTTCATTGTTTTGTGCAATGCATAAGAAGCTCACAAATGCACATGTAAACTAAATTTAGGTGATCACTGAAGAGCAATGCATGGTGACACACACCTGTAATCCTAGGAATCTGGGAGGCTGAGGTGAGGAGACCACAACTTCCAGTCCAGCATGGGCAACTTAAGACTCAGTGAGACCTTGTTTCAACATTAAAAAAATAAATAAATAGAAATTTTAAAAGGGCTCTGTGAAAAAGCCCTGGGTTCTATCCCCAGTACCACACACACACACACACACAGTCATTTTTGTGATTTAATAGACAAAAGAATAAGTTTTAAACTTCACAAGAAAAATATTAGGCACTTTGTCCCCTATAAATGTTCATATTTTATTCAGATTTATTGTATTCATCAGCTACTATGTGGTCTACTTTAGAACACAGCTGGTGTAATTGTAAAATAAGAATATAGGAGCCCTGTAAAATTGAAGGGAAAAAAAATGGGGTTTAGAGAGCAGACTGTATACAGGCAAAGGAAAAGTACAGTATTGGATGTAGGAAATGAGAGACAGCTAAGGTCCCAGGAAAAGTGGCCACAAAAAGCGTTAGTGTTTTTGTCGAGTTAGACCTTCCTGTGAAAGTTGTTGAACCAGACCATAAACCATCCCCATGGAAAGACAATTCAACTCCTAGCGCAGGTTGCTTTCCTGCCTTAGACTCACAGACTCAAGTCACCCCTGTGCTCACAGCGCCATCTAGCATCCAACGAAACAGGCGGCCCATGACAAGCGTCATGAAAATCTCAATAACAAGGAATTACAGTACTGTGTTCATTTGAGCAGGTTTTTTTAAGTGTTTATTTCAAAATTTAAAATCCACAATCGCTGCAGGTGGGATGTAATTCATAATTGCATGCAGACTTTTCCTGACACTCCTTCCACAACACGCTAGGGTTAAAGGTGACTTTGAATCCCCATAGGCTGATTGGTTTCATTTACAAACAAGTACACAAGTCTATTACTAGAGCACACACAGCTCATGTTTGTGAAACTACTTCACTGACTTTGCATTCCGTGTCATTTATCTTCGAGCAATGGCATGTGAGTACGTGGACACACATCATTTTTCTCTTTAGTCCCAGGATACATCATAAAGTGAATGAAATCTCTTACGCTAAAGGGCACGTTTTTGAGTGGTACAGATGGGTCGGGCGTATTCGCGCCAGCCTCCCGCTGCCGAGCTCTTGATGACCTTCCACCCTAACCCATACCACAAGTCGGCCATGAACTTCCGGACCGTGATCCTTTGGGCCGGAAGTGCGCCATTTCTCCGCACCCGCCAACAAGCCTGCGGAGCGCTGGTTAGGACGGCGGCCGGGAGGGGGCGTTCTGTGCGCGCCAGCAGAAAGTGAAGTGAGGGCCGTCTGGCTCCCGCTGGGTTTCCTTTTTGGCGTCCCAGTTGGTCCTGGTCTGTGTTAAAGCCCCGCTGGAAAAGGCGCTTGCACTGCAAAGACTTTAACGTGTAACCCTGTCTTCAACAAATAGTTTTTGAAATAGACCACAACTAGAAATATTGTGGCTCGGGAACTTTTACGTGTCCTCTTATATTAAAGTTTTCTTTCTTTTTTTCTTTCTTTTTCTTTCTTTCTTTCTTTTACGTGTCCTCTCATATTAAAGTTTTCTTTCTTTCTTTCTTTCTTTCTTTCTTTCTTTCTTCCTTCCTTCCTTCCTTCCTTTATTTTCTTTTTTTTTTTTTTAATCAGGAATCAAACTCAGGACCTTGCGCTTACAGGCAGGTGCAGCACCAATGAGCTAAATCCCTGCCTATTTTATATATTATCCCTAAATTTCGCTACTGATTCTCAACTTTTGTTCCAAAAAAACGAAAGAAAGAAAGAAAGAAGTCACAATATTCAATTAGAAAATACTATTTTTTAATTTTTAAAAATTGTGCAAGGTTAAAAGAAGTTTTGCAAGTATATTTTTAGACAGCTATAGACCTTAACTTTCTGTGTAGAGTTCTGTATAGAACTTAACTTTCATGACTTTCCAGTCCAGCACAGTGGCCCTTACCTTGTCACTGATCACTCAATGCCCCAAATCCCAGACTTGTTTTTCAAATTCAATTGACCCTGCGTCAGTGTTACCTGTGCTACTCTCCTAATTCAGGACTTTGCTTTTTCTCCTTCTTTACTTTTCTTAGAAAAATATTCTCTAAATTCCTTGAGTTCAGCATATTTTGTTATTATAAAGAGCCACATCTCTATTAAGCTTTGTGGGCCATTTGAATTACTTGGCAGCTGGTCACCCCTGCCAATCAAGTAGAAAAGCAGCCACAGAGTTTATGTAAATGGAGGAGACTGGAGATACCCAGTAAAGCTTTCTTTATATACCCATCCATGCTTTGGGGGAACAAGATCGTTTATCTGACTCTCCAGCACTCCCATGTCTTTGTTCACAGTAAAAAGTGCAGTTCATGAAACACAAAAGTGAAGAATTTTTTCTTTTGTTTTTAAGTATTTTATATTTCAGCTCCATTTCATAGTTTTGATGAATTTTTAAAAGCAATATTAGAGAAGATAAGAGAAAAGTGTGGACCCTAAGGCATTTTATTACTACTAAATTTTAGCAAGCACCCTCAAAATTTTGCCATTTGGTATTGTGAATACTATACAGTTTATAAAATTGCTGTCTTCTCTCTAGTTTTCCAGACTACAGAATTTTGTAATTGTTTTGATTTTGTTTGTTTATTTTGGTACTGGGGATCGAACTCAGGACCTTGTGTTTGCAAGGCAGGTAGCGGAACCAGTGAGCTAAAAATCCTGGGCCCAATTGTTTTGATTTTGAATATTAGAATTCCTCAGATGGCTATAAATTTGAAAAAGTATAGAGAAAAGAAGCAGCAAGTAAAATACAATCAAAATAACATAAAACAGGAATCATATTGGGAAGTGTTTTCTGATTTCTGTAGTTTTTTATTTTATTAACTTATTAGTATACAAATACACCTTTTATTCACTGACTTTTGCATCAGTTTATGATTATAAAAGTGTCAAATGAAGACAGTGCAAATATGTATAATTCCAGATCTCTTCCAATATAAACTTTCAAGGGTGACCACTATCAAAATCTTAGTGCAATTCTTTTCTAAGGACCACTATGATTATAAAATGTTTATGTGTTTTATTTGTGTGAGAGTCTGTCTCTATCTCTGCATGCTAGTTTGTGTGTGTCTATGTGAATACACATTTGAACATGATAATGACAAGGAAAATTGTGATGGCACAGTATGTGTCTGAACTGTTATGACTTCTTTCATTAAAATAAAAAGGTTGAATTAGATGCTGTTATTTGAAAGTATATGGGTAAATAAATTAAAGATGTATTTCTTCAAATAACTGTGCAGATTGGTAGAGGTCTCACTGAGATATTTTAAATAAGAACATGGGAATCTATCTTTATAATAATGAGGACTACACTCTTAATCTCAGTGATGGACTAATTCCTTAAATCAGGTCAGTTTTCTCAGACCAACTAATCTGATAAGCATTCTATATATATTTGTTAGAGTTCAAAAGGCTAACCCCCATTTCATTCTTCATAGAATGGCTCAAAAGTAGATTTTATCATTAGAAAACACCTGCTTATACATGAGGAAGGAAGGAAAGACTTTAAATCCATTGTTAGTCATTGATTTTTGCATTTTGTTCTGGTGTATTGCATGGTTACTAAACATAACGTACAGATCAGGGCTGAGAGACAGTTTCATCTCCACAGCTTCAGGCAAGAGTTTTTGGTCATACAACAGGAAAAATTTCCTGGGGTTTTATGAGTGCACATCTCTCTCGTGGATTCTGAACACTGTATAACAAATATGTGGTCAATCCAGGTCACACTATGTAAATGCCTCTACTTCATTAAGAAAAAATTATGAAGAATGAGCTTCTGATCTTAACAAATCCCTGAGCTCTGAGCTGCTTAATCAACAATGTAGATGATCCAGAGGATCAGCCCCTTGATAGCTAACACCATGTGTCCTTGATTCTGGGGATGTGAATGGTGATCGTGACAAGGGCTTTGTTGTACTATTTCATCTGCTATGCATAGCACACAGTACCTTTACCTTCTCTGAATTACGATGGGGCTGTAGGAGGCAGTGCTGGGAAGACAGAAAGCAGGGCTGGAGTGAGAGTCACGTATCTGCCTGGTTCTCTCAAGATCCTGCAACCTGCAAACTTCACTTCTCATTTCACTGTATGCCAGTGAATATACACATTCTCAAAATAAAGCAGGCAGCCTCTGTCATTTGTACTGAAGGAAGCACCAAAGGTAATTAACCATTTAATAGAGAACTGGCATTCCCAAAGGATGAGGAGACAGGAAAGAAGCCTTCCGGTGAAGGATTATCCCGACATGCCTTTCAGTAGTACTGTTTAATTTATAGTGCTGATTAGTTCTTACTCTCTAATGTACCATGCATTCACCTCTTTTATTTATAACATTAGATAGATGGAGAGGAGAATGGGCAAGGCAAGGAAGGGAGATCATGAGAAGTAGAGAACAACTATAAATAAGGTGTAGAGAGAGTTGGGAGATAGGAGGGAAGACACATTACAAGAGGGAGTAGGCCAAGGGGGACACTCCTGAAATTTAAAATATTGTAATCAACCAATACCAATAAAGAAGAAGTAAAAGAAATAAGAGTATGAAAAATGAAAACAGGGAGCACATAGAAAAGGAAAGCAATCAAGATGGCCCAAATCTATACCTAAAATTACCAACATAACAATAAAAAAGAATAAAAGCCTTCATACAGTTGGTATGGCATTGACCCCAATTCCATACAGCTCCCTATAGCATGGTATGACTGTATGGTTTTTATTATCTGTATATTTTCCCCTTGTGGTGCAGACAATTGCCTGTCCAAAGCGTTGAGAATCTTTGATTTTCCTAACTTTTGTCCTGATTTTGAGCTCTGGGCATGCCCTTCTGCAGATGTCCATGGTTCACTCACTTTGATCAATTTGGAAGATAAATACCATGGACTTTTCTTTGTCTTCCCTCCACAGATTTTCCCTGCCTAATACGGGCCCAGAAAGCCTATAGCCCAGGTGCTGACCCTACAGATGTGTTTCAGCCCCGCCCACAGAAGCAGCAGGAGGGCTCTTTCTCTGGACTTTGTTCAACGTGATTATCACAGAACCAGTTTTCCCGTCCTTCTGAGTTGTCCTCAGATTTTGCTTCTTGTTACTGTCACAGCACCGGCTCTGCCTTCCTGCATTGCTCAGTGGCCTCCCACCCTGTCGAAGTCCACAGTCTGGGGTGGGTGTTAAATGTTCCATGTACAGCACTCTCATTGTATGAGTAGAAAATAGGTGGCTTAAGTGGTGGCAGTTGTTGCTGTTGTTGCTGTTTGTTGTTGTTGCTGTTTTGTTGGGAAAAAATCTCTTTCCCCATTGTACCACTGCTCACCAGCTCTAAAGGCATGTGTGTAGGTGTATGGCAATTATTAAATTTCAACCTGTTCTGTGCTCACCTTGAATGCTTGGACTGGAAATGTCTCACTTCACCATGCCCAGAGGGGAAGAAAGTGTAACTGTGGATCTACTCACCGATGGGCCCTGTTGCTCCTTCCCTCAGTCCCAAGATGGTGTGTGCCCTGAGTCTGCGGAGGTACGTGGGGTACTGTGATCCAGGAGTGGGCTGGTTTCCCCTCTCCGGCCCTCAAAACATTGGATATTAGCCCTGCTGGATTATGTTTTCATTTATCCTCCTGTATCAGACTGTATCAATTATACCATTGACCCAGTTTCCATATAGCTCCCTATACCGTGGTATGACCCATGGTATTAGTATTCACCCCTGCCTGAGGGTAATTGCTTTTCTTCAGCATGGAAGTGAAGACACTCACCTTGGCTATCAGCCCCTAGCAGGCCATCATGTGTCTTCTCTGTAACCATTATTGTACAGAGTATTTTCACTGGCTTAAGGATATCCAAACATCCTCCTTCCTAAACCGTCAGAAACCACTAATCTGTTAATTATCTCTATGGTTTTACCTTTTACAGAGTGTGGTGGATAAACTAATGGTCAACTTGAAACACGCAGCTGAACTGAGGACACATAACTTACAGGATTATTTTATAATATTCACCCAAAAAGTCAAATGCAGATGAGTGCAAGAAATCTGTCCACATGCTAGAGACCTAAAGAATCCAGCCAAGAGCCTAGATCCCATGGACAATGTCCTTGAAATAAATAGGACACACGTGCATAAATACTGAATTGTCTCTTTGGTATGAGAAACTGAAAGTGTAAATGAAGACCAAAATGTAAATAGATAATGTGAAATAGGAAGCAAAGGTTCAAGGGGGAAGTGAGAGTTGAGGAGAAGAAAAAAAATATATATGAGAAAAGAAGGAAAAAATGGAAACAAAGCTTTTGTAAATGGGGGAAGGGGCTAGAAGGGAAGGCAGGGGAATGGGAAAAAAAAGAAGAACTAAGATATATCAGGTACAGGTACAAATTTCCAATGATGAATCTGATCATGATGTATATCTAAAATGCACCAATAAAGTTAATTTTTAAAAATACCTTTTTTCCCTCTCAGGTCATTTTTCTTGTATAAATAGAATGGGCTGCATTTGCTTACTCCAGATAGAATCAGGTCTCTGTTTACTCCATACTTCGATGTCTCTGTTTAGTCTGTTTGGAGACTTTTAGGTTTTCCCAGCCCCTCACCAATGGTTCAAGCTCCACAGGCCCTGGACCTTATCAGCACACTTAGAGCTATTACATTCTCCTGAGCTGAAGTTTAAAACTACAGCTTGTAGGAATTGTATCAATAACTAATGACATCTCTTTTGCTTTGCAATTAGCCACCAGCTTCCTGTCTTCAGCCTGCTAATGCCTGACTTTCTGCCTCACATCATGACGGTGTCACTCACTCTCCTCAAATATTATTCTCCAGTGTGAAAAACCACAGCCAACTTATACTTGGTGAGTAATCCCAGATTTTAATGTTACCTCTGACTTCTGGTGCTAAGACTCCAAGGCTGATTCCTCTGAATTTCCACAATATATTCTTCACACATTGCACTGAAAAAACTGCCTTGAAAACTCACCCATGGTCTGGCTTTTTTGTAAAAAAACAAAACAAAACAGATTTACATCTGTATGAGTAGTGGCCTCAGCTATAGCCCTAGATAGCAAGTGTCAACCTCTAAAATCAGCTGACTACCATATGATGTTTCCTGAAATGCCCACGTTTTGGTTTGGTTTAGTTTTTGTTCACATTTTGTTTTGTTTCAGTATGAAGTTGGGTTCAATTGTTGTTGAATTGCTGGAGATGGGACCCACGTGGCTCCTGCATGCTAGATATCTGTGCTCCCCCTGGGCTACAGCCCCACATCTGAAATATCATGATTTTAAAGTAAAATATGAGACCCAAGGGCTCTTCCTCATAAAAGCCATAAGAGGTAAGAGTATTATCAAAGATAAACAAAGCCAGACAGTAGTTTAAGTGACAATGACAGTTTTTAATCAGTAATGATTGATTGCGATAGGAAATAGAGCCCAGAATGACTGCAGAATGACTGAGGTCAACTTTGTAGAGAGGTGTATTTTGTTTTAAAGGGAGAATTCAGAGTTTGGAGGAAGGAGAGGAATCAGGCCCTTAGAAGTATGGAAGTCAAAACCTACAAAAGATTGGTCCTGAAATGGGGATTAGGCCCTCCTTGGGACAGTTAGTTGTGAGCCACACTCAACTTTGACTTGGAAAGATATGAATGGGCATTTTGAAAGGAGTGTGCAGCACAGTGGGAGCATGGCCTTAGTAGAGACAGGGAAATGAGAAATTACAAAGGGTTGGCCAATGTAAAAGTGATTAGGCCAGCTGCATCTACTAGTATTCTATTAAGGAAGATAGGATGCTATCTCCAAGAGACAGTGGGAAACAGATCCTGGCATTCCTGATGATTAAATGTCAGGGGAATGGCTTTCAAGTCCTTGAGAAAGACACTCTTGAGTGGAAACACAAGCATTTACTTGTTAAAGAAACAGAGGAAGATTTCTCCATTGTAAACCCTTTCCTTGTAAATTCCCTAAGAAATGGTTGGGGTTGAGCTATGCTTACGTGTTAGTTACAATAAATTCTTTTGGCAATCTTACATCTTCCTAGGGTTGTAGCCTTGAAAGATTAGAAACTGCTAGTGCTTAGGTAAGTGTTTTAATGTGGAGGGAGGGAAGTGAGTCAAATAAACTAGTTTGAGAGTTTGTAGATTTTGTAAGCCATGTTTAAAGCCTCATCTAGAAAGGAGTTCAGAGGAGGCCAACTACAGCACTCTGTGAGGGAATCTTTGTCAGAATCAAATGTAAATTTAGGGACCTGAGATTTAGCTCAGTGGTTCCACTATCTGCCTAGCAAATGCAAGGTCCCTAGTTCAATCCCTGGTACCAAAAAAAACCCTAAATATAAACTTAGGGTCCTAAATTTTATATGGAATCTCAGGGACTCTGAAAAGCTAAAACAGTCTTAAGAAAGAACAAAGTGGGAGTTCCCATACTTCCTTATTTTAAAACTTACTACAGTAATTAAAATAATGCAGTTTTTATATCAGATATATAGAACAATAGAATTGAGTGAGCAGCCTGGAAATAAATCCTGTATACTAAATAATTTCTGCATTTTTTCAGTATATCATAAAGATATACACAAAGGAACATGTTTTTGTTTTTGTTTTTGTTTTTCTTTATGAAACGGGGAACTGTCTTAGTTACTTTTCTCATTGCTGAGACAAAATACCTGACACCCAAAGTTAAAGGAGGAAAGTTTACTTGGCTCACAGTTTGTAGAGGATTCAGTCCATAGTTAGCTGGCTCCAAGGCAGGGCGGCACGTCAGAGGGGCATCACAGAGGAGAAACAGTTCATGGAAGGCAGAAGGCAGCAAGCTATAAGTGACCAGCAACAAACAATGGCACGGTTTCTGTCCCTTACCTCTTATCCAGGCTACTCATCATTAGGGCGAGTAGCACTCACACCCTTAATCCTAGCATTGCATCCTGGATCCCAGCATCACACATCCTCGACCCATCTACCTCTGAAAAGTTCCACCTATGACCACATGAGGCTTTGGGGTGATGTCTAGATACAAGGCCTAACAGGAATCCAGGGCCTAGAGCCTGGTAGGCAGTGACTATACCGCTGAGATACATCTCTACCACAACAACAGTAATTGTTAACCTGTGCTGGTTTATTTTTCATGGGTTTTTTTCATGATGTAAGCCATATATAGGGCCAGTAATATGAGTGGTGAGAATAATTTACTGAGGAAGGATAATATAAAATAATTTATTCAGGCAGAAGACACCATCAAGAGGTACAGTGGATGCATGCCAAAAGAGGTATTGCACTTTCAAAGTGAGATATTGGGGTTTTTTTATAAAGGTTTCAGCTGTGCCAAAAGGGTCTAGGCAGCAAATGAGATTACCTAACGAGTGTCTTTTTCTGGACCATCTAGGTGGTGTGGATCTTCCCGGAGCCCCTGCAGCATTTCTGAAGGTATATATTGAAAGTTCCAATTTGACCAGACCACTTCTCCAACCTTGCGGAAGAACTCTTAGCTTCGCAAAAGGAGCTCTATACAGTACATTTAAACTTTCAGAAAAGATAGATCAGAGAGAAATAAGTGGGTCAAAGATTGTTTTGATTTCCTGTGTAGTTCTGATTAGTGCTGATGTATTGTTTTTGACCACTCCATGAGTATGGGGCAGGATGACTTTAATGGAGCAGTTCTACTGCTAAGGGTTTTAACCCTTTTTTGCCATTGTGTAACCACTGCATTTTTAAATATCTGATGCATTCAGTAGACCCATTCCATAGGAAATTATTTGTACATACACAATTTTGTGATACTAGGAATTGAACCCAGGAATGCTCTTTCACTAAACTATATCTTGAGCCTTTTATTTATTTTATTATTTTTTATGTCAAGACAGGATTTTGCTGTTCCTAATACTGTAATTGAATTTGCAATCCTCTTTCTTCAGCTACCTGACAGGCTTGACTACAACATACACCACTGCGCCTGGCTTCCAAAACACACATTTTACAAAAGATTCATGATCTATGTAGAACCAGAGTTAAACTCCCTAGTCAAGACTAACTGAATCTATTCAAAAACCTCACTCGTTTGCATGTAAACAGGTAGTCCTTCTCATAGTTATCATATAGAAATTCTACCTGATGAATTTCTTTTTAATTTTGAACTTCTGAAATCATAAAGATATATAAATATTAAATTTTATACTGCATTCTTGTTCAATTTGTGCCATAAAATTATCTTTATTTACTTACTTCCCAATCTTAGAAATTTTATTAGTAGTATATGTTGTGATCCATAATATTACATTCTTTGGGGGAACATATAAATATGTATAATTTTAATTTTTTTCCTTTCTACCCTTCCCCAAATCTATTTCCCAATATCCAAAAAGTCAACCTCTCTGTTTCCTATCACTTCTCCTTTATTTTGAGCATTAAGTTATTTATATTTTGTGTTTCTGATATGAGAGAAATCACATGATGTTTATCCTTCTGTGTCTGGCTTATTTCACTAAACATTTGGTCTCAAGAGCCATCATTTTCACATAATTCAAAAGCACCCTGATTTAATGCTGAGTAATAATCCATTGTGTATATATGTTTCCTTTATTTATTCTTCTGCTTATGGGCATCTAGGTTGTTGCCATAATTTATCTCTGGTGAATTAAGCTCTGACAAACATGGGAATATATATATCACTATAACATGATGACTTTAACTCTCTGGGGAAGATACCCAGAGGCAGTGTAACTGGCCCAAATGAAACTTCCAATTTCATCTTTTTTGCAGTCTCTGTACTGTTTACCACCATGGTTATACTAGTTTACATTCCAACCAACAAGGTAGGAGGCTTCCCCCGCAACATCACCATTTGTTAGTTTTTGAGTTTTAAAGTTAGCCATACTTACTGGAATAAGGTGGAATCTCGGTTTTGTTTTAAATTGTATTTCCTTAATTACAAAGGATAGCAAATATTTTTTTCAGTTACTTATTGGCCATTTGTACTTCTGAGAAGTATCTATCCATTTCAATTGCCCATTTTTTATATTTAAATACATAGTTTTTATATTTTCTAGACATTGCTCTTCCCAAAGAAGAACAGCTGGTAATTTTTTTTTCCATTCTGCAGATTGTCTCTTCACTCTGTTGGTTGTTCCTCATGCTGAACAAAAGCTTTTAAATATTATATAATCCCATTTGTCGATTCTTTAAATTATTTATTATGTAATCGGTGTTCTATTGAGGACATTCTTGTCTATGCTTATGTCTTCAAGATTTTTATGTTTTATATTTCATCAGATTCAATGTTTCTGATTTTATATCTGCATTTAGATTTTTAAAAAATAATCCTAAGAGGTGAACCAAGAACTTTGCACATGATAGGCATCTGCTCTACCAGTGAGCTATGCTCACACCCCAAGGGTAATAATCTTTTGTTTTTTAATTCTTTTATTGGTACATTTTAGGTATACAATACATTCACATTTATCATTGGGTGCTTGTACCTGTACATGATGTATCTTGGTTCTTATTTTTTCCCCATTCACTGTCCTCCCTTCACCCCCTCCACCCTTCCCTATTTACAAAGACTTTGTTTCCATTTTTTCATTTTCTCATAATATTTCCTTTCCCCTTCCCCTCCCACTTCGCCTACCCCTTTGGGCCTTTTCTTCCTATTTCAAATGATCAATTATTCATTTTAATCATTTTAATCCTTATTTACACTTTCAGTTTCTAACACTAGAGAAAGTATTGGGTATTTACACATATGTGTCCTATTTATTTCACTTAAGAGTATGCCCTCAATATGCATCCATTTAGCTATAAATATGTCTAGTTCCTCATTCTTTATGGCTGAGTAGTACTCCAATTTATATAAAAAAAAATCCACATCTTTATCCAGTTTCCAACTGATGGGGACTTGAGCTGTTTCCAAGCTTTGGCTATTACAAACTGTGCCACTATTAACATGGGTGCACATATATTGCTATGGTATGATTCTTTTAATTCTTTTGGGAAGATACCCAGCAAGGGAATAGCTGGGTCAAATGGGACCTATCAGTAGAATAGATTAGAAGATGCAGAACCAACTCCAGACATACTCAGCCACCTCATCTTTGACAAAGGAGCCAACCACCCTCATTGGAGGAAAGAGAGTCTATTTAATAATATTGGAAAAACTGGATTTCAATTTGCCAAAGATTAAAACTAGACCCATACCTATCACCATGCACTAAACTAAGATCAAAGTGGATTAAAGACCTAAATATTAAAACAGAAACACTAAACTTGCTGGAAGATAAGTTAGGTAGAACTCTTGAAGATACTGGCATAGGAAAAGACTTTATGACCAAAACCTCAGTAGCACGGGAGCTAGCGCAAAGAGTCAACAACTGGGATCTCATCTTATTAAAAAGCTTCTGCACTGCAAGACAAACCACCAACAGAACTAAGAGACAACCTACAATGCGGGAAAAAAATTTTAGCAGCTGTACCTCAGACAAAGGACTACTATCTAGACTATATAAAGAACTGAAAAAAACAGACCCCCTCAAATTCAAAGACCCAATTCAAAAATGGGCATCTGAAATGAACAGACATTTCCCAGACAAAGAAGTAAAAGCAGCAAAGAAACATATGAAAAATTGTTCAACATCACTGGCATTCAAGAGATGCAGATGAAAACAACACTGAGATTCCACCTCACCCCAGAAAGAATGGCTGCTATCAAGAAATCAACTAATAACAAATGCTTGCGGGGCTGTGGGGAGAAAGGAACCCTTCTCCATTGTTGGTGGGAGTGCAGACTGGTGCAACCACTGTGGAAATCAGTATGGAGTTAACAAGGTTAATAATCTTAAATCAAGGCAAATAAATTATATTCAAATTTTAATAAGAATACCAGGCAAAATGCTTAGTCTTTCTGAAGCTTCTGTATATTATTTGTTCAAATAATTAAGAATGCAGGGCTGGGGATTTAGCTCAGTGATTCTGCTGCCTACCTCGCAAGCACAAGGTCCTGAGTTCGATCTCTGGTACCAAACAAAACAAAAAAGAATGCAGCTAGCTACCTAATAAGATATGGCATAGGAACTTGCTTTATCATTTTTTGATCCTTTATAGGAAAAAAGATAACTGAAAATGATTTCAAATATAAGACATACACGAATGCAGTCCATTTACAATGAGAATGCATTTCAATTCTGTACCAATTAAAGGAAAATTCTGTACAGAGAATTTTATTCCATTTACTTTGCCTCCCCTAAATAATATGATATTCAAGCATTAAGTTTGTTTGTATTTGTAGGAAAAACTTTACAGATTCTCTGCCATTTTTATAAATGATAATTAATAGTAGCATTATGAATATTCTAAAATGTTGTATTTGTATATTTGATACATAAAATGCAAGATGTCTAGTTAAATTTCAATTATATGGGCTGAGGATTTAGCTTAGTGGCCTGCCTCACCAGCACAAGGTCCTGAGTTTGATCCCCGATACTAGGAAAATAATTTCTCAATTATATCTGAGCAACAATTATTGATGTCATGAAATATTTTTATTGACATATAGTAATTGTACATGGTTATTATTTGCAGTCTGAACATTCAGTACATGTGTATATTGTGTAGTGATCTCGTAGTTAGCATTTGCAATTCCTGAAACTTTTATCATTTTTTTGTATTGAGAAGCTTCAAATTCCTTTCTTCTACATTTTCATAGAATGCATAAAAAATTGTGGTGATATAAAATCACTTTACTATGCTGTGGAATATTAAAATGTGTTGCTCATTAATCCATGCATTTTGATACCTATTATCCAACGTCTGACTCCTCCCCTCTTTTCTAACCTCTAGTGACAAATATTCTTAATCTCTCCTTTTGAGAAATCAACATTTTAGCTTCTACATATGAAAGAAAACATGTGGTATGTGTCTTTTTTGCTAGGCTTATTTTGTGTAACATAGTGTCCCTCAGTTTCATCCACACTCCCACAAATGATGAGGTTTTATTTCATGATGGAGTCATATTCCATTGTGTTTATGTGCCAATTTTTTATCCATTTATCCTTCCATGGGCACCTCTGTTCACTCCTTATCTTGACTCTTGTGAATACTGCTATAATAAATATGCCAGTCAACAGCCTCCTTGGTACACTGACTTCATACCCATAGGATATATGCCCCGTATTGAGAGGGCTATATTGTATCACAGTTCTATTTTTAGTCTTTTGAATAAACTCCAAACTGTTTTCCCTAATGCTGTGCTAATTTCCATCCTTCACAACAGTTTGGTAAGCTTTCCATTGTTTGTATTCTTGCCAGCACTTGTTATTTCTCTTTTTTAGACAATATCCATTCTAACTAGGGTAAAAGGATATCTCACTGTGGTTGTCATTTACATCACCATGATGATTACCAGTGCTGAGCAGTTTTTCATATGCCCATTGCCCATTTGCATATCTTCTTTTCAGAAATGTCTGTTCTGATCACACATAGTCAAATAATTTTCCAAGAGTGGCAAAACCATGCAATTTAGAAAAAATTAATCTTTTTAATAAATGGTATTTTGTCTACCAAAGTTTCCTGTGTTAGAATCTTGGACCCAGTGCAGAGACACTGGGAAGTGTTGAAATGTTTAAAAGGTGGGGCCAAGTAGAAGGTACTTATGTCACGGGGGGCATCTCTTACAGAAGAGATTAATGTCATTCTTCCAGAGCCCTGCTTGGTTCCCATGGGAGAAAATTTCTATATAAAATGTAATCTCCCTGGCTTCCTGTCTTAACTCTCATCCACATACACCCCTACCCTTGGAATGCCATTCATTGTAAATCCCTCAGCAGAAGCAGAAAAGATGAAGCTTCCTGTGCTTGGATATTCAGCCTCCAGAATTGTGATCTAAATAAGCCCTTTCCTTTGGAAGTGCACAACTTAGGATTTTGTTATAGAAAAGAAACTGGGTGAAGCCATACATACAATGAATGCTTACCTTCTTCTCCTTTATTTGCTAGTCACTGTTTTTTTTAAATGAAGACCATTAAATGGGAGCAGAAATGCTGAGCAAGGTGTTTGATTTGCAAATGGCCACTTCTCCCTGTGTATCCACAGTCTTTTCTGTCTGTGTGCACCACCCTGCATGTTGTTTTATGTCTAAACTTCCAGTGTTAATAATGACAACAGTCAGATTATACTAGTTCCCTGCCCCCAATGTCCTCATTAACTTAATAACCTCTTTTGAAATCCTTCCTCCACACAATCACATTCTAAGATACTGGAGGTTACAGCCTTTTGTGAAATGTATTTCTTTATTTACTACAAGATTCATGACTGACTGAGACTCCCTAAACAAATCTCTTATTAGTAAGAGAAATTCATTTATTTAATATGAATTTTAAATGACACAGGAAGGAGGGAAGGGAAACGAATGTAAAAAGGAATTGGGATGTGCTATGTACCTGTACCGATTGCAAACAAGGAATGTAGTCATTACATACCCCAAACATGTACTAATAAAAAATAGATTTAAAATGAGCAAAAATATATTGAACTCTCAAAATAGATCCAGGGAAGCTCTTTATTATTATGGAATTCATGCCAAAAAACAGGAGATGGTACACTGTGGTCCCTTTTTCCATATTCCTTTCTCTGCCTCAATAGAAGTCATTCCATTCACATGCCAGGGAAGACAGACTCTTAAGAACAAATGCTCGGCCGATGTGTAACTAAGTAGTCCCAAAAGGCAACCTGCCAAGAGTTACATCCTTCAGGGGAAACATGGCTCCAGGACATCTTGCTGTTAGAGGAATGAGGAACAAAGCCCAGCTGATCCAGACGTACTTTCCGCAACATGATACTGCATTGGCAGCTAATTCTATAGATATTCTTGAGATATTCTTTTCCACAAGTAAAAATGAGAAATAGATTTACCCAAGCCCACTCCAAGAACATCTCTGCATCAGCACTTCAAAGAGCTCCACAGTGCCTTTTTGGAATAATCATCCCCCTACTCCGCCTTGACAATGATTACTGTAATTAATGTAGCTTGACAGATAATTGATCACAATGATCTCAATAATGTTGCCTTTTCCAGATTGCCAAATGCAGTGATACCTGTGTATT